AACTGATGATCTATTAAGTGTGAACAAATCACAGAAAGTCATACAGATCATTTGCAGTAAGAATTCATGATACATCCTGTCTTCATTCAAACATTAAATCATTGTGAGTCATGCATTAGTTAAGCATTACTTAAATATATGAATTGTACCTGTATTATAAAGTGTCACCCAATTTCCAAACCTGCATTTCTGGATACAAATGAAGAAATAATTGATAACTGACACAATGCTATTATTAATTTGAAAGTCATTTATTGGACACACTTATTGACATTTGGACCAAAGCCACTGAACCAAACCAAACCCATCCATTAGTCGTTTATTTGGGGGTTGAATTGATGTTGACCTAAATCATAAATTGTATAAATTATAAACACTATTGAGATTAATTTATAGTTAACATCTATCACTTTGTATGGTTTGTGTGTGTGTGTGTGTGTGTGTTTGATCCATTGTACCATAGGAGGCAAAGAGTTTGAACAACATTATTAAGACACTACTGCCACCTCACGGTCTGTTTCAGTACTACAGTCTGAAATCAGTAATATGCACTCTCTCCAGTTATCCTGACGGGACACAGGTTCATTATTTATGAGAAAGGGGCCACCAGTTATTAGATATGGGAAAACCATGACCTTGAATAATAGATATATATTTACCTGACAGTTTATGTTGAGAGATACTTAAATGTAATAAAGTGGCCATTCAGAAGACACTTAGAGTCCCAAAAGTCGAAGTGCTCATCATGCAGATTGGCCCATTTCAGAATAATGTACTATATTATATTACTGGTTTATAATTATTGATGCATTACATCACTTTAATTTTGCAGATGGTTAGAGTTGAGCAGATATTAATTACTTTTTATAAGGCTGTGTACCTTGTGAATCAATAAAGTCTGACCTTATGATAATACATCATGATATAATACTTGTTGATTATATTTTGTCATTTTAATCTGAATCTGAAAAGTAACTAGTAACTAAAGTTACTGATTAAATGTAGTAGAGTAAAACATACAATATTTGCATCTGAGATGTAGTGGAGTAGAGGTATAAAGCCAAAACATTGACTCACTAGTCAAGTAAGATAAAACTATTGAAATTGTTCTTAAGTTAATGTACTTGTAAATGTTACTTTCCACCACTGTATAATATGATGCATGCATTGTACGATAACCTGCCATCCATTATGTGAGAGTGTGGGTGTAACAAGATTATGCTCAACAATTTATTATAATTCATTACAATTCTTTACAATTAATGAGCATTTTATGAAATGTTTTGTTGCAGAGTTTTATGTTTGTAAAACAGATATTGTGTCTAGGCCCTTTTATAACTCCTGTGTTTTCCCACATGGGCACATATTCTAACGGTGTGAATGCACCACATTAAAATAATGACACAGGTCATGGTATGTAGACTTTGTGTAAGACTATTTATGAGCAGTGTTTAGAGGAAGACTTTTGTTTTGTTTTTACAGCTAAACACACCCAGACCAGCGCAGGGTCCCCGTATGAATCTTTTTAGTTAAATTAAACTGGTAAATCTTTTGGACAAAGTTTCTTCTTCAGTGTGATCTTTTTCCTGTATGGCTATTAATGTTTATTAGCATTGAAAATAATCTGGAAGAATAATATCTATCAACATTAAAATCAGGGATCAAATCCCAGCAGTACCAAGTACAAAGAATAAAAAAGCATTAAGCATTGGGTAAAACAAACAATATAAGATATAAAGCACCAAACATCTGAGACAGAAATAAAAAATTAAAACTATAAAATCTATAAATGATTTGGGCTTGTGAACATTTGTGCAGTTTCTATTTTCAATGCTAAACATAAACCAGATCCAAAAAGGACCAGCAGCCATTCCCAGTTAATTACTGACTCACTGAAGAGGTGTTACAATGATTTGTAACATGACAAGTTTCAGTGGGTCATGGTTGATGGATAATCTCAGTTAAATAACCTTGTATCCTTGTATCATGTAACATTTACTTTCTCAAACATACTTCCTCTGTAATATGTATCACAAATAATGCAGCAAACTAAAAGCGGTGAAAGCTGACTGTACAATTTAGTCATTGTAACAATAAGTGTGCAAAATACTAGTCCTTTCATTAATTTAGATTTTCTAATTTGGGGAATATAGTTTTCTAAAATCTCAAACGTATTCATACTTCAGCACCATGGACAGCAGGGACATTAAAAAGCTTTCAATCTTTTAACAACCAGCCTGTTCTCGCTCTTAAAATGATGGGAAATGACGCCCGTTTCCATTGTCAACAGTGACATTATTTGTATGCGAACTGTATATATTACCAATGTAACATAAATATGCAACTCTATTATACTGTGCCAGGTTCTACATGACCTCTCAGACCTGAACTCATTATTAGACTTATAAAAAGATAATATTTAGAGCTCAAAAGGCAGCGCAGACTGCTGCACATCGGATGTTTAATGTGTGTCAGACTGATTACAGCATGAATAAATGAAAAGAACGTGACTTATTCTGAACAAACTATGTTTAATGGACTTGTACGTACCATCTGTTGCAAGCATTTTGATTTGAATCAGCTGCCCTTTTTTTGGTGTGATTACAAAATTCCCCCCTTCAAAAGCCAAAATGGATACAAATTCACACAATGAAAACATACGTCTATGTTAAAATCTTTTTTAATCAAACATCTGTGACTCTTCCTAGAAGGAATAGTATAACTTAAATGATGCCTCCTTCTTATCTCACCAACAAATATACTCCATAATTACATCTAAAATGGGTTCTAATAGCAATAGAGACTGTAGACGATAAATTAGCGGATACTGTTGCCATTAAAGGATTGGTCTTTGGTATTTATAAACTTGTCGGCCTTTCTACAGCTTTCTACAGCTCTGTGTAACTCACTAGCATAACTTTGCTGGGGGGATATAGGAAGTCCCCTTTCCACAGCAGTCACTTGGCAAACAATAAGGAATACTAATATAATAATAATAATATCAAAACGTGACAGATATAGAATCTATACCCTATGCAAGGGAAATCCTGAATAGTGTGTATACGTATATAAAGAGACACCCTGTTACACTCTGTGGGGATGTCCTGCAGTGAACTCCCTCTGGTCAGTGGCAAAAAATGCTCTTACAGAGATCCTTCATGATGTTTATGAATGTGCTACTGTGGATAGTAGGAGACACAACTGAAAAGGAAAATTACATTTGCAACATTGGGTTGTCTTGCTGTTAAACGGAAAAATTGTTATTGGAAGATAAACAAACCTCAAAGGAAAAAACAGATCCATTTTCCAGAGTTTATAAGCAGTCAGAACTTGATTCATCAAGTCCAACTCATGCATTTTGTTAGATTGTATCTCCTGTAACACCACTGTCAGGGCCCATATCAGAGAGGCACTTACATTTCACCACAATGCATGTATTTGTGTATGCAACACAACAATCTCTTTAGCAAAATGTTCCATAACACAGATGCATACATTAAATATAATTGGAGTTCTTCAACTTTCAATTAAGGCAATTACCACCAGGTGGCGGTACAGTCACATGAAAGCCAACAGGACTAAACAAGAATTAAAGCTTTTTGTATTTCATAGTTGTATATTGAATGCGCCTTTTGTCTTTCTCATTAAAAATGTATCTAATAACAACCATTACACTATAATAATATAGGTCTCATATTTTATTATATAAAACACAAATTACATTTAAATTATCCTGAGCGTCTGAAGAGCCTCAGAGAAGGATTACTTTCTTTTAAATCGTTTAAAACTAGTCTTTATAACACAAAATTGTATTCGTTTAAATGAAAAACTAAATCATTCCCTTGTCCATATGTTAGATACGTTCAGTGCATCTCTTTCAGTGTGAAAATAAGACACGACGTTTTTTAAAGAAAGTACTTATTAATCAATTGAGATTCCGTGATGGTCTTAATGTAATGACAGTGTCTCTGAGAGGTGCATATTAATAATGTAAAACGTGAATTTTGTAACTTAAAGCATAAATATTTTGGTCGTAAATCAAAGAAGTGGCCATTTACCAAAAGGGGAATGGTGGAAGTCAATGAAATCGCCCACAAACTGCACTGTGGGTGTCACTGTGAGTGATATAATGAAAATAATACTATATGAAGCAGAAAGAAAGAAAAAAAGAAAGAACGAGAAAAGGGGACTGCGGTTTTAATAAAATTAATAAAAAAACATTAATATAACATGTTGATAAGACATTAAACACTTCCCAGTTCTTAAAAATAAATCTCTTTAATGGCTTTCTGCAGGAAAACAGCGACAATTTCACCAACTTCAAGAAAACAAAATTAGATGCATGAATAAAGATAATTTCAGGTACGTGTACGTTATGTATTTTTGCAGTAAAAATGTTGATAGTGCTCATCCATGTGGCTAAAGTCATGTAACGAGAGTGTGAAAGTCCTCACATCATAATCATCATTAACCGGTTAACAAATGTCGCTGAGGAGAACTGTCTCTGCTTCGAGACTGAAGCAGGAAGGAAATGCAATTTTATTTTTTATTTTTTTTACCAAAGATTCTGATGAAATTGGATTGAATTTAGCAGAAGAGTTCTTGACAGCTCTCCCTTTGGGGGGTTTGTCACATGACACACGGCTTCACGTCCTGATAGACGCTCTGGTGATGGTGATGAAGCTGATGATAGTAAGAGCTGCCGGTGCTGGGATGAAGAGAAGAGATTCCGTTTAGGTTCAAAACGAAGTCCTTCCTGTCACACACAGGAGCTGAGTGGCTGGAATACCGAGACAGTCCCACTGTAAACACACAGGACACAGCAGGTCAAATAAGAAATTCTTTAATTTATTTGTTTATTTATTTATTGTTGTGGTTAATATCTATTATTTTTATTCCAACTGCTTGAGAAATAAAAGTTTATTAATGTGTGCTATGTGTAAAATGTGTTGATACCACTTACATGGCGTTTTTAGGTTGTATTTAATGGCTTTATTAATGGTTATAAATCTTAATTTTAACGATCAGTAATTCAATATAACAACTTATTTATACGTTGCAAAAAATCCTCTGGCTGTTGTTTATCCTTTGTATTTTTATTTGCAACAGTTATAAATGTGTATACTTTCTAATTAACCAGTAAGTCTGCAAGAATAAATGTTTTATTCTGTGTTTATGTGGTTTTTTTTGGTCTACACTAATTAATTGAGTCTGCAGTTAAATGCTAATAAGTTGGGGTTACACTTCATGATTAAATAAGCATTTTGTTAAAAATAACTAAAATAAAATAACTAAAGCATGTCACTTGGTGGAGCCAAGTGGATTTTTCACAACTTGGCAACCAAATACTTAGACCTATTAGTAGCTTATAGTGGATCTATTAAACAATAGTAAATTATTTATTAACCATTATTAAATCCACTAGTTGTAAAACATCCATATAGCTGGTTTAGTAAGATGTTGCACCGTTTTTCTTTTGTTATGTGCATTAAACGGCAATAAAACATTATTAACAGAATAAGCAGTAAGACAATACTACTGTAAATATCTGCATTATGTGTGTCTCATGTTAATAAAGGTCTTTATGGAGTTGTACAAATAAAAGTAATTGTTGTTTCATTGACGTGTGCCTATTATATATACAATCTATAACACAGAGCCCTCAAAAGACAGCTTGGGTGAAAATGAAATAAAATGGTAAGAAACTGAAATTAAACACAAAGCTGCATGGGGCACCTAAAATTATACACACATAATTTGATGATGTATAAAATAAAAAATAAAAATAAAAAATGAAAAAACCAAGGTCTAAATTGGTTAACATTAATATTTTAGTCAAATACGCCAGTGCATTTTCTGTATACATTACCTATCCAATACAATAAAAAACTAAATATTCACAAAGAGCGGTGACTGCTATTTCATACAGTTTAATGGTAACCACAAACATTATGACTCATCATGTTGCAGACAGGAACCAGAAAATACAAAATATAGCGCAGGGCTATACAGTGAGGCTCTACCTGAAATCTCAGAGGAATCTCGTGCATTGTGGTGCAGATAGCCTTGATCCAGAGAGTAAGATGACATTCCCGTGTGCAGAGCAGAAGAAGTGGGACTGCTCGATGCCAGCGACTGCTGTTTGATGTATGAAGACACACCAGGTGAACTCCAGTGTGAGGCTGCATTCGAATAAGGAGACTGACAGTCCAAAGTGCCTACCATGGCTTGGGGGGACTGCAGGGGGCTGCTGCTGCTGTCAGGGCAATAGTCCACGTTGGAGGACACCTGACAAGCGGCCATGTACGAAGACCCTGATCCTGATGACATGTGTGGCACGTGGTGTCCCCCTCCGAGTCCCTCGAAGGCACCTGGCACAGTGTTACCCATCAGGTCTATGTTATAGCTGTTATGACATGCTAATGAGCCTGAAGGTGACTGGAAATCAAAGTTTTGCGGCAGCATGGACGCACCGAACCCGATACCATTCATCATCCTGTACATGGGTTTCAAAGCTTGGCATTTCCTACGGAACCCCCGGGGTCTGCGACGAAAGGAGCCCTCCTCGAACATAAACTCACTACTCGGGTCGATGGTCCAGTAGTGCCCCTTTCCAGGTCTGCCGAGACCCTTGGGCAGCTTTATAAAACACTCGTTCAGAGACAGATTGTGTCTGACAGAGTTTTTCCATCCCTGGTATGATCCCCTGAAGAAAGGGAAGCGGGCCTGCAGGAACTGATAGATTTCACTCAAAGTGAGTCTTTTGCTCGGTGCACTTTGAATTGCCATCACAATGAGGGCTATATACGAGTAGGGAGGCTTTTCGGGGCGCCTCAAGCCAGAGTTTCCCTTCTTCCATTTGGTCGATGCATTCTGTGCGCTCTCCATCACCGGCTGTGCGCTCAGCAGAGCTGCGTCCAGAGCACCGGCTGTAGGACTGGAGCGCAGAGGATTGGATGGATCCAAATGTTGCTTGGAGCTCTCGGTCGTCATGGTTGCGCCTCTTTTTGGGTCCCTTCACTGCGGTGTCTCTATAACACCCGGCCAAACAACTTTTCTCACCTTCAAACGTTATTAAATGTTCCCTAATGCGATGATTAAAAGGTCAGTTTCCCTCTGAGATGCTCTGCGCGTTTATAACCGTGAAAATCAAGAAACGCCAGACGTTGTTCCTCCTTCCTCTCTCTGTCCATCGCTGGCAATAATCCCATAAGAGAGGGGGACTAAAGCTCCTCGACTTTGCTTGCGCATATCCACCCGGCCAAACACAACTCGACCACCTATCAATTCTTAAATCTCTCTCTGCCCTTCTATCCCCCCCAAAATCCCTCCAAGAAATCGCCAGGAACTACTCCCTCCCCATCTGGCGAGGATCCAGACTAGAAGCCGGACACAGCGCAGTGGAGTAAGACAAATCTCCTCCCACGACTCACAACACCTCTGAATACATTTGTCAGACAAGTATTTGATAACGATCACTTTCTAAGCCACGATAAAACTGTAAAGTCACACAGTTTCAAACACATTAAAACCCCCTTTGTCCATGTTCCTGCAAACAGTGGCAGTGCCTGCTGGTGGTGTTATTTTGTAAAGGTGCACAGGGAGAAGGAGTTCGGTTCATTTGTTGGGGATCTGTTCAGTGGTAGGACTCTGACATGAGAGAAAGCATGCTTTTTCCATCAGAGCGTGCCAAGGTACCACACACAGCGCACAAGTGTCAGTTTACATCTTTGAGCCTGGGTTACATCCCTGGAGAAATGAAGTGATTAGAAACTCTAAATGAAGCCTTAAATAAAAAAGATTCCGATAACGAAATATTTGAATATCTTTTGTGCAAAGTTTACTACTGTAAATGCCCATTTTTTTGTGTGCCTTAGTGGAGTTTTACGCATGGCCGCGCGTGTCCAGTTTTACAACACAATCTACCCAGAATACCAGCAACATCAAACCTGTAACCCCGCTGCGACGACCAGGATGCACAGCTGGTTTAAAGGAAATTTACTTTCTAACCTCAGAAGAATGGGCCTGCTTGGAAGACATTTCTTCCTATTGTGGATTCTAGTTGACTTTGCTCAGGATGCACCATTTGTATAAACCCCTTCCTGCGCATGTGTGGTGACTGAGGCGACAGCTATTTGCAGAGCCAGACAGAAAACATAAATATTGGATGCCCCTATCCGGCAGCAGCGAACTTCATGAACACTGAAAAGTAAATAGACCTACTTATAAGGGGATTTGGCTGCATTCTTATTATTGTTTAATTCAATTTTTTGGCAATTTTATTTAATTGTTGATGATGTTGTTAGTATTGGATTTTTCTAGTGGAGCAGATGCTCTTCTTCCTCAATCAATTGAGGAGAAATCTCTACAAAATATGGACGCCATGACAGGCTGCAAAGGCATGAGGCGTTTACATATAGGAAGAGGCTGGTGTATGCAGCAGGCTCTTGCAGAGAAAGAATTTTGCAAGGTGGAGTCACATGAACACACGCCCCGTTAAACATTACTGCATTGGCACAGGTCAAGTGTCAGTTCATTTGGCTCCACCAGAACCACTAACTGCTTTGTAATTTAATAAGAGCAATAATTATTATTAGTATACAATAATAACTATAACAATAACAGCAATAATAATAATAACAATAATAACAATAGAAAACGAAGACCATCACTTCTTAGTTTTTTTTTATTTAGTTGTAAAGAGCACATTTTTTAAAGAAAGAGACACAAAACAGTCAAAAGTGCATATTTTCAACACGTTTCTTAAACAAACAACGAGTTAATGGTCAGTTCAGCAACATTTACAACAAAGAACTGTGTATAAAATATCAAATCTGATGATGCTTCAAGGGGGAAATGACCAGATGTATAAAAGTAATAACGTGTAACACCTCGCCACCACAGTCCATCATCAGTGCACAGTGATGATTTTTAATCATCAAATAAAAAAATAAAAAAAGACTCCGAATTTACTGCTGATATCTCCAGTGTGAGAGCAGCCCACCGTCATAGGCGGTTGACACATGCGCAGCACAGTCCCTGTGCCAGATTGTCTTGACATATGAAAATGAGGCAGGTGTATTTGAATGGGGCATGAGTAGTTCAGTGTAGCAGGGCCAGGTGAAGGCAGGGCGGACTGGTAAATGTTCTTTGTGTGAGTCCCTCTTGAACGGCTTGCTAAGGATGTTGTCTATGGCAAATGAACTGGTAAACTTGACACATGAATCAGTCTTGGTGGCGGATGCAGACTGCTGAACGCTCTGCGGCCCCTCCGAGAGCTCGGACACCTCTGGCTTCCTGCTGAACTTTTTATCAATGCGCTTTCTTCTGCGCCGGAACACCCCATCAGCAAAGGTGTATTCGCTGTGAGGGTTGAGCATCCAATAATTGTCCTTCCCCCAAGGTCTGGATGGGTCCCGGAGCACTTTGAGAAAGCAGTCGTTCAGAGACAAGTTGTGTCGAACCGAGTTCCTCCAGCCGGTGTAGCTTCCTCTGAAGAACGGAAACTTCTTCATCAGATAGTCGTTTATTTCCGCCAGAGTCAGGCGCCCAGAGGGAGAGTCCCGGATGGCCATGGCGATGAGGGCGATGTACGAGAACGGAGGTTTGGGTCTCCGCGTGTACGGCTTGGATTTGGTGCCGGTGCATGGAGTAACAGGTGGAGGGCTGTGCGCCACGCAGTCCCCATCCGACCCCAGCTCCTCCTCAGCAGAAAGAGGAGAGCGCACACTCCCCTCTGCATCACAGGACATCTCAAAGTGTCTCATGTCATAGTGGCTTCCACACAATACCTCCAGCTTCATTGTTGTTTTTTGATGAGTTCTCCTCGTTTATAGTGCTGTGTAAGACCAATACAGCTCTCCGCGTAAAGCCCGGACCTTGTGTGCGTCAGGACGACTTGAATCCAATGAAGTCCATTTGAGCTACCATACCTGCCGGAGTACTGAAGCCACACTCACCTACAGATGTGTGTGAGCCGCAATTTATAGCCGGCTCACCTCAGGAGGACCAACCCAAGAGGGCGGAGTTAAATTATTTCAAAAGATTTGGAGCATCACAAAACATGTTCACATTGCGTGCATGAGAGTCTATAATAAAACTGTGATCATAATAAAAGGTTAATCACTTCCCAATGATATAGTATTTAGCAAAGCAACAGATGATTTTACAGTGAAAACAGCATTAAGTGCAGCTTTATTACTCTCCCACCTGTGAAATGTGATCTGGCAGACACCTTAGGACTATTTCACCTGAGACAACCAGGTGGCGTAGGTTCCCTTTGTATTTAAAGGTGTGGTGCCTGCAGCTAGTTCAGTATCACTAGTCAATTTCAGCCAGATTTATCCTCTCATACAGGGACTGAAATTATGTTCATCCTAATTACACTGAAATTTTTTTTTTTCCAAGTTACACTGTAATATTTTCTATACTCTGTGGTATATGATGCTCCCTCACATGCTCTCAAGATCTCTCACATCAAAGTACTCTGCTTTGGAGTGAACTTGCCAATTTAACAGCCCACCTAGAAACCATTGTTATTGTGTTTCTCTCTCTTTAAACAAATAGTGGGACCTTCCTGTTGCTCAGTGCCAAGATAGTGAATTGACCTAACAGATCTACTTCTTGTGATTTATCCTCTTTCAGAACGAAATGCCTTGAGGTCCTGGATGACTTTGGAACAGGAGGTGCCACTTGTGATGTGATTTCAAAGAAAAGGTGGGATTATGACAACAAGACCAACAGGTGAACACACTTTTGAACTCTATATTATGCCTTTAATGTCACTGTTTCTTTCTCATTTAGAGCCCGGATATGTTCTCCGCCCAGTCATTCCCTGCAGGTTCATCTGGCAGTCACGTTGAACTCAACAACCCATATTTGTATAATTGGGGGTTATTATCTTATTTCCTGCAAATAATTAAACCAAATCAGTTCTTTCATTGGTTGTGCTGCTACAGTGTCACCAAATAGACAAATGGGAAAATAATATCCTCATGCACCACCTGGAAACCAATGTTGACATCATACCAGCCACTGATGTGTTGTTACTGTGACAAGTGGTTTAACTTTTGTTTATGCAAACTGTACTTTTCAAGCTGTTTTTTTTTTGTTGTTGTTGTTTTGCATGTAGGTTACACATGTTTGCACTGGTGTGAATGTTTTGATTCTCAGGTTATAATCTGTTTGTGTTGTGTGTGACACACAATCCGGGGTGACGTCACTATTTTGAAAGCCTGGATCCTTGTAAGCTAACCACACAATGGCAAGAGCTCAAATACCATGCCTTCATTCTGGTCACTGCATGTAGCAGCTTGTGAGGCCATCATGTGTCTGTGTGTGTTCTTGTGCACATCAGGATCTACTTAATAAACCCTATCTGTTATGGCTTTAGAGGTGGAACAAGGGATGAATATGTATAGGTGTATGATGAAAACAGTTACCACTTTTTAATAAGACACTTTTTACAAACACCAGGGAATTAGCTTGTTTTAGTAGCTACAATAGTATAAAACTATAGGCCACACATATACAAGTATATCTGTGAAAGCTCAGATTCTTGGCAGACATATGAAAAAAAAGTGTTTAGATATGTGTCTGTATTGTTATGTCAAGATCAGTGTTGTGAGATTGATGAGCCTTTCTGCAGACACTAGATCTAGAATAGAGATAAGAGCTTTCAGTTTTTATTAGCTCAGTTTTTAAAGCACACACCTGTAAGCCATGAGGAAAGTACAGCATGAGGAATGTTGTAGTATGAGCAGTCAAATAAGGGCATCAATCTTTGGGCAGCATGTACACTCTGTCCAGCTCCATATCTCCTGTCACAGACATTTCAGATGCAAATGTGTATTTAGGTGCAGTATACTGTCTTTGTAACTCTGACTTTGGCTTTGAGGTATCACTTGTTGATATGTTGGAATGAGGAACACTATGAGGCATGTAGTCAGACTTCAGTGACTAATCACCCTTATTGTTTCTAACGCAATTCAGTGATTTGTTGGTTCAGTGTTTAGTTCAAGAATCACAAACTGATGCCAGCATAACAAATTGCATGCACAGATTTGTAAATACAGTAACTACAGTTATGCCTGTCTACACACATACAGTAGTTTCAAGAGAACTCGGTGTATGTAGCTCATAACATCGGAGCCCTGTAGTTTCTGACAATCAGATAACAGTATACTGGGAGGTGACTGGGCTCAGCGGTAACTCATGAAAGAGACACAGTCACAAGCCCATGACTTCTAATATGTTCCCGCTGTCTGTAGTTGTTTGTGAAGGAAAATAGTTTTCCAGTCATTTGTTGGAAGGCACAAGGAAGGAGAATAAATATTCTTAGTTGACTGCAGGTGTAAAGAATAAGGCTGTGGCTAAATGCAGCACAGGAAGCAACAAATGTTGTGTGATGTGGATTCATGTTGAGTTGAAGTATGTGTCCATATGTTGATCATATCAAACAAAACCCACTGTTGACTGAGTAATCCTCCTGTCATGGTAGTGTCATACTGTTGAGTAAACACAAGTCAGCCATCATGATTTAATGAAAATAAAAAGAAGTGTTATAGATAGAGATACACTGCTGGTCCCAGTGGTTCTTTGCAAACTGGTTTGTGTATTTTCTTTACATTAAGCAAACAGTGTCTCAAGCCTCGGAAACGTTTTTTACATGTACATTTCAGGTAATATAATCTTTCTTTTTTTAGGGAGCCAAATATTTAGTTCATTGTAGTTTTACATAGCAGGACAGATTATGACACACTTTAAAAAAAATTATCTTGAGAAAAGTATTTAAACCCTGCTTAGCATTTCAGTAAAGTAAACTGTTGCAGTGAATTCCACAAGATGTCTAAAAATAACCCTGTGAAGATGTCAACCTGACGAGGATTTATTTTGCATAACTCCCGCTCAAGGCTTGACTCTCTCTCGCTCTATGCAAACAAAAAGCTTTTGCGTGCGAGACAGCAAATAATTTGAGATGTTCAGATGTTTTGCAGAAGATTATGTTGCTGTAAGCAGAAAGATCAAGTGGCTTCCGAGGTTGGGATGTGTTCAAAAGGTTCAAAATAGAAACTGAATTTCAGGTTAATTGCAGGCATTACTTCATGTTATTTATGACAGACATGTTTATTGTCGCTGTACAATACATCCATTCCACCTCAAAATATTTCTTCAGCCACTAATTATAGTATTTTGACATCTCTGTTTTGAAACATGTTACCAGTGTCTCAGTATTTAACTGGAGCATTATGCTTTTGGACAAACATGAGCGTGTTCTTAGTCATCATCAGTTTCTTCATTTATGTTTGGCTCCACGTGTTTCTTCATGTATATCTGGTCCCACCCTCTGAATGCACACATCTGTCTTTTCACCTGTAACTACCTAATTTTTTTGTCACTTTATTTACCGTTTAATTTGTTTGAATATAGGTGCTCCGTGAGATGCATGAAACATTAAACAAAGTTCAATTTCTCTTATGTCTCCTGATGGGAAAAGGAATGAAAGCAGGCCCCTGCCTGTCGCTGCTCTGGAAAATTTCTATTTTGGTCACTTAAGAGGTAAAGTGGTTGAGCTGCCAAACAAAAGGGAAAGAAAAAAATGTATTGAAGAAACAATAAAAAATTCAAGCTAGAGTGGTTATCAAAAGGTGGAGAAGGACAGAAATGTAATCTCTTTTTCCAGCATTTAAGTTCTTAGTATGAGGGCACCACTTCGGAAACCATAATAACTCTATCAAAGATTCAAAATAAGAAAAGAAAGGTCTCTAGTACAACACAGTCCGATTATAATTTCTCATTTATCAAAAGTTTTAAAACTTAAACTTGTAAAATAAAATGTAATGTAACAAATTTCAAATTTAAATATATATTTTTTTATTTAATTTCATGTCACGTTTATTTTTTCTGCTCCACGTTTCTATACTTTTCACCTTGTTTTAGTCAGTCAGCTATGGTTTTTTGCATATCCTGCCTATTTTTACATATGGTCTGGTATTTCACTCAGTTATCTTAACCCATCCCTCTCAATTTTTTGAATAAACTGTTTTTTTCTGTATAGCATCATTTTTATCAGCTATATTTTTAGTGAAATAAGCGGGGACAAACAGATGGTGATAGCAACAGTCAAAAGCACACAGGCAGGTATACTAGAAAAAAATGATGAGTAGGGGAGACTAAAAGAAGATAAATAAGTCTGAAAACTGACTGATGCAGTTCCTATTTTCTTTTCATATTTTTTATTAAAGGCTATTTGAGTTAATACTGTTACACACAATCTTATAGGTTTTATAGGCAGGTAGCTGTTATAGGTTAGAGACTGGTTTAGTGTGTATAGAGATGTGTACCTCCTGCAAGCCATCTGTGTGAGTACAGCACTTAACTCCTCTCTCATGTTTAAATAAAAAATGGGAATTAGGGTAAACACAGAGGGTGGGGTTGAGATAGGGATGTAGCTTAACTTGCAAATAGGGAAACAGTTTCCACATCGAATAGGGGTTTTGACATCATCACAGTGTGAGTGATGACAGTGAAAGCATTAAGAAAAGGGGTCGAGCCTTTCTTTATTTATTCTCCCCGGGATTCTGGGTACTGAGATCTGTGTTGAGGCCAAGCGTGTAAGCGGACAGAGTCTCATAAGCTGTTACTGACAAGCAGCAGGGCTACAAAGCATCAACACACTATGGAAGAGAGAAAGGCCATATAAATATCTCGATCTGAGTATGTATGGGAGGATTTAAAGTAACTTAGTAACGTTTTAGTTCTTTGGGATCAAAACTGCTATGACTCATCATTTTGATAGAAGTGGTTCCCTATTTTTTCATTCATTTTAGTTTATAAAATACACCTTTACCCTATGCACTAAACTTATTTTTTAACAAATCATATTGCAGTGTGAATTCTACAACTCTAACGCTAACATTTAAACTTGTTAGAACTGCTGTTTAACATTT